GGGTGTGATAAGTTTGGCTCCTGATTTCAAACTGGCAATGTATGTTGACTTGTTTTAGCTATGAGACTAATCAGTCAAAGTTATATAGTTTAACTTGAGACTCCGAGTTCGCAGCTAGCTATTGTTTAGTAACAAAAATATCATGAAAAACATTTTTGTTTAATAATCATTTAGTTCTATTGTATCCACATAACATCACGCCTTTTATCCCTGAACTAGGCACTTAATGCCACTGTACAATGAAACACTCAGATTTAACTATTTATATTATGAGTCGCATGTAATAAGGGGTGAGCTTATTGCCATATACCGGGCACAATTCCAGACTCCGTGCTACTACTGAGATTTTTTAAACACCCAGTAATACTTTGCTCGTCACAGTAATCGAGCCCGAGACCCCTTGCCCGGCAGTCGCACTACCGACCCAACCAACCCAACGAGGTAGTCTACTATCTACTATAGTAGAATAACCTCTATAGTCCAGCTGGAAAGTACAAGAAGGAAGGAAATGAATTATTTTGTGGAGACACAATACTAAGCGACCTTCAAGTGACGCGCTGGAAGCCCGTGTAATTGTTTGATGGTGGAACTTCTAGCCGGATTGTTTGTTGCTTATAGCGAAATAGAAAGATAAATATTAGTTTAGTGGTTGTTTTCAACATTTAAGTTGATCTTCCGTATTGTAAGTTTAATGTATTGTTTTGAACCAAGTTAAGATAGAAAACCTGCTGTCGTAAAAATGTTATTCCTGAATTTAAGCGAAACAAATATCGATCTTCCTTACTTTCCTATTTGTACACAAGTAAGTCGTTTGCTGAGTAAGGAATAGTTGAACTTCGTAGAAAACATAGATTTAAATTGGGCCCTACTATGTACTATGTACTGTATCGTCACATTTTTTGTCATTATTCCGAAACTTGGGTAAAAAGGTCCGGGGTTAGTAAGGATAAAGTAATTAGAGTACATCGTGGTACCTACATTACGAGCCGGGCTTAGGGACGTAATGTTCCTATTTAGTTACCGGTTTTTATTGCCCTTTAAAGCCAAAAAGAAGCAAGAGTAGTAAGTTTGTTTTGGTAAGATGTACTGTTGTTACGTTAATTGTAATTAGTCGTAGTAATACGTCTTAGCAATACGGGACCAAAATACCTAATGATTTTTTATTACTTAAATAGGTACATGCAGAAATAATAACAATAATGTTATAGAAAAGAGTCTGGGCAAAGATATGGATTTTTTTAAGGGGGAAAAACATCGAATATCTGCTCCCGCCTGGGTGAGGTGGGAGGGAGTGTCAGAGTCTTACTGACTAAAAACCACCCCGTTCCTTCTCCTGCACGTCGAGCCGGAGCCCCGGTAACCCGTTAGGTTCTCCGCGACTCCGAGGGCTATCATATGAATTGAAATCCAGACAACCCTAATCACGTAAAATCTTTGCAAGACTTAGTATTCCAACCTTAAGGTTTTGATTGCCAATTGAAAACTTTTAAAGGTAAATCCTTTGCTAGTATCGGTCTTCGGTGATCCCCATGGCGTTCAATGTGTTAATAAAACTTTACTCAGTGGAATTAGAAACACTTATATACTAATAAAAATATCAATCCTGGTGCTTTTGCCCTGCACACAAGACAATTGAGATACACGCATAGCAATCTGAAGAAAAAATCTTTTGTAGATATTTTTGTAGAACAGTGAGGAGGAAGTATTCAAAGAATTTACATATTTAACGTTTGTTTCACGGCTGAGCAGATACAAGAAACAAGAAACAGAGATACAAAGTATTTTCGACATCATTTGTGTTCGGTGAATGGGGAAAACATTGAATTTTCAAAAGACTACAGAGAAAGGCAGGGGACTATTTGTATACAAACAATTGATTTTAACCGAACAATAGACGTTTGTGTACGGTTTAAAATGTGTTATCCAGCTTCAACATGTAGGATGTCGATTCTGCTGCATACACAATCAAAAACGGACTTTTGATTTGCATACAAATGAAGGTTTTGGGGTCGGCCTGCCACCTCGTAAACGGGACCTTTATTATACCTATGACCTTGATGTTTCGTACCCCGTGCGGTGCAGCCATTTCGAGCAAACATTCATAGAAATGTTAAGCTATTATGGAACGGAACGTATATTATGTTGTACATACAGAATTCACATAATATGAGTAAAAATATAAGAGTAGAAATACCGAGAACATGTCACGATGTCGCCCCATTAAACGATGTCCATCAGATTTAACAAAATTAAAAAAAAATGAAAAGTAAATAGAAATCCAGTATTTTATTTGTTTTACCAAAATAAACATAACTTATTTAATTAAATTTTCTTGTCTCAAAAACAACAACATAATTAAGTATTTCGCGATTAATGATGTTTTATAATTAGAACTCAATATTAGTTGAATGACTGGACCGTTGGCGCGGTGGCTGGGCCACTGTGTCGCGGGTTCGATTCCCGCACGCAACATCTCTTTGTATATACCTATGTATGCGAACTTGAATGTTTGTAAAACGCACCCATGACACAGGAGAAAACCCTAACGTGGGGAAATATTCTTTTTAAAAAAAGCTATTTATTAGGTATATTACTTGAATATAGGTATGTATGTATTTTGTGCTAATACCTACTTTACTTTTCATAAAAGTAATTTGAAAATATTTGAGTTTAGATATGGCTATAAAACGACATTTTATCTCTTCATGATGTCGAATAATAAAGATATAAATAAGGAAAGAAAAAGAAAAATGTTATGGAAACCGAGAAATACCTCTATAGCAAACAAAAGACTTACGACTAAATCAAATGACGTATACACCTTTCTTAATATATTTAAAATCAAAAAAATTTCGTATAAAACGGTACAATGTGTATTCATAAATTGCCTATCATCAGCAAGTAGCAGTGGGAAACAAGCACTCTGCATCACTTGAAAGTACTTACTAAGTCAATTGACATATTAGGCTTCAATCGGATCAGTAATTGGTTTCGATTGAAGATCTCTACAAGCGAATGACCTAAATTGACCATGAACAGTATTAAATTATACGAAACAGGGTTAAGTATTTAACTGAACGTGGACATTATATAGGAACTGGAAGTGTTACGTTCAGTTAGTGTAAATACACATGTGTGCAATCAACAAGAGGCGGCAACAAGTCTTGGCAAAGAGATCTAGGTTTTATAGCGCAACATACAAAACAAACTTCGATTGCCAACGGTTTGCGAAGTGTTCCGAACGACATCGGCGTAGGTAATGTGCCACGTTGGGCATGAAGCAAAGGGGCCCGACGTAAATATTGCTGATTGATACTAAATTGAGTATTATCATGCTCAGACAACCGTAAATACGCTCACTTATTTCCAATGATGTGGGTCTCCAAAATATACAAGTATTTTTGTATCATCATCGCCTTGTGCTCAATGTTCAAGTTATTGGTTAAGGTTTCTGTATAGGTCAAGAAGTTCGGCAGTCTTGTCCTTTGTTTATTTTGAATTTTCTTTTTATAGTCAGTTTTGACTGTCTCGTTGGCGGAGTGGTCGCAACTGTGACTGCCGGGCAAGGGGTCTCGGGTTCGATTCCCGGGTCAGGCAAAGTATTACTGGGTTTTTTCAAAACTTTCAGTAGTAGCACGGAGCCTACAATCGTGCCCGGTATATGGCAATAGGGTCATCCCCTATTACATGGGACTCATAACGTAAATAGTGAAAAGTGGGTGTTACATTGTACAGTGGCTTTAAGTGCCGTAATGTCCATCTCTGCCTACCCCTTCGGGGATAAAAGGCGTGATGTTATGTTATGTTACTCAGTTTTTTTGTAGATCAAATATTGGCGAATTATATAAATCTTGTTAGGTAACAAAAATTTTTAGATCACAGGCTAAAAGTGGCCGGGATTATTGTGTAAACAATTTACAAGTGAAATAACTGTAAAAGTTGCCGATATTTCACCTCTGTATCTCATAAATCAAGTAAACCATTGGTGGTTAGTTATAGAGGGCTGAAAGTATTCCCTTCTTTTAAAATATTGATATCCCAACTTAGTTCAGAAAGGGAGAACAAAAGCGAAATATGCAGCGCTTAATAGTTGCCATCTTCCGTTAGAATCTTTCAATTTCATCCTATTTTCTTTTTATACGTTGTCAATTTTGTTTCATATCATCGACGAAAATATTTCAAACGTATAAAGTTTTAATAACTCAGTATTTATGGTTGAATTTGATTGACAAACGCGAATCTATAAGATAACATAACATAACATCACGCCTTTTATCAGCCACTGTACAATGTAACACCCACTTTTCTCTATTTATGTTATGAGTTCCATGTGGTTGTGTGTGTGTGGTGTTCCAATAGGTGGTGAGCCTATTGCCATATATCGGGAACATTTCCAGACTCCGTGCTACTACTAAGAATTTTTAAAAACCAGTAATACTTTGCCCGACCCGGGAATCGAACCCGAGACCCCTTGCCTGACAGTCGCACTTGCGACCACTCGGCCAACGAGGCAGTCTATAAAGAAATAATTCAGTTACTTCTCAATAGTACCTTCAAAAATATTTGTATTGAGACACTAGTCTTGTATTTTGATTTATTTACTTTTTGTACTCATAACTGACTAAATACTCGATGCTGACTGTGTTCCAATGGTTCCTCTTCCGAAAACAATGAAGTCTGCCACTTCGTCTAAAAACCAATTTCGTTTGATAGATCTCTTAGCTTCGACAGTAACCCTTTATCATTTTGATGCTCGTTTTAATTAACATTCTGTTTGTTATATTTCATTCTAATTAAACAAACAATTGTAGGCCTATATTATATATATATAAAACATTGAGTTGAGTAACTTCAAGGGATTTATTGGTAGCATAAACGGGAGACCAACTGTTATTTGACTATTTTAACGTCGCAATATTTGTATTAAAATACTATATTACTGTCAAAAAATATGCATAAGTAAATATTGTTGTTAGTAAATTGATTAGCCTAAAACTCACGTTCAGCACTATGATGAAGAAGTCCAGCGTAAACAGGAATGAGGTTATGGGGTTGAAATTTAACTGTAACAAAAAAATGGATTATAGTGACTTCAGTTATTATAAAAATAGTAACACGTACACAGTCACAAATAAGAACAAAATATGTTAAATCAATAAAAATAATTAACTATACTACGCATGACGCGTCTACGAAACTCGTAGTCTCTCGTAGCACCTCTACGAGTTTCGTAGCCCGTAGCAGTTTTTGGTCCTTGGTAGAAAAAGGGGTGACGACGGTGTTGATATACAATACTAATATGATTTACCTTATTTTTATTGCTTTCAATATTAGTTATGTTGTGATAGGAAACAGTTTTTTGTGAGTTAGTATCTAGATCTCGTAGTATTCTTACATTAAAAAAATTCCATTAAACAGATTTCGGTACAAGTGGTGGAAATACAGATAGAATCTGTAGGAATACGAAAAAATAAATAAAGATAATAAAACAAATTCGTAGGCAGTCTACAATTTATTTCTGCCAAAAACGATTTCAGTGTAGAAAGAAAATTTGTTGGCGCGGCGTATCTTATCAGAGATCGGGGTCTTTCGGACCTGAACCCCGGCAATGCGCTGCGTATTACGATCCATAATAGATACTGCGCCAATTGGCCTGGGATCTTTGCTAATTTATATGTTATCTGTCTGTATTTATAACACAAAATCGTTAGTTTCACAACAGATTTATTATTAAACGCAAAGATTTAACGTTTTTTAAAGATTATCACGTTGCTTTTAAATGTGATATTACTAAAGACACAGCAATGGAGCTGTGAAAAAGTGCATTGATTTTGTTAATCTTAGCATAGGCTAAGATTAACAAAAACAAACATATAGATGTTTGTATTAAAAAGTAGTAGTTATAAATCACGTACTAAATACCTACCTCTATTTATTTTCCGGGTAGGTAAATAATACTAGCTCGTTAGACTGTTTCGAATGGCTTCAAGATGTGGATACCCGATACGACATTTGATCGAACCCGTAAATGGAAGTTTAGGCAGTGTGACATTCTAGCCGGGTTCCGCCACGATAATCTGTACCGGTCAAACTTGTGAGACGCGTCCAAACTTCGCTAATTTGCACTTGGCTCCCTGAATTCGCTCAAATTTATAAATGGAGCGAATAGACTGCCTATTTGTAATCGCCAAACAATAGTTTTAATTAAACTTTTGCGTTCAACATTTTAATAGCAGCCTCGAATATGATTTACAAAAAAATAATAGATACCAATTATAGCTGTCGGGCGTTGTCATAGTTCTTAGTGTTGGTAGAGAGTGCATAGAGAATGAAAGTTAATAGTATTGTTTTTGTTGTATTTATTGAAGAAAATATAAATCTTCGTATTCATTACAGCAATAAGGCATAAATAAATAATGTGACCAAATCTGTTTATTTGACGTTTTCATGTCTATACATAGTAGAAAACATAAAGTGAGTTTACCACCCACATCTTATAGATAAACCTTTAAAATTGTCCCGGAAATATAGAAACGTAATTTTTTGAATGAACTGTACTTTACATTGTAGTTTTACTGACTTTAGTCATTGTTTTATAGTTTTCTAATTAACATTAAACTGTCAAACACCAAGCGGTCACCGGTGACCGCGACCTATTGTTCTTTAATTGTGTCTATAAAACCGGTACTCGACGAGTTAAAAAAAGAAATGTTTAAAAATGATACATGAAATTTGGTGAAATGACTGACACGATTCTAACGACCCCAGAGACAACCTAGGAATAATGGTCAGTAACGTTTACATGATACTAATTTTATACAAATTATATCTATAACTATTATACATATTATATCTTTCTTAAGCAAACATTACCTACAGTGTCGTAAAAACCACAAACATATACGTAGTAATTGTTAACAAAGTTTAACAGAATACCTGTCTGGCTGGCCAAGTGCTCGGAAGTGCGACTGCCGGGCAACGGGTCTCGATTCCCGGGTTCTTTAAGAAAAATCTCAGTAGTAGCACGGAGTTTAGAATTGTGCCCGGGCTCACTCATTACAGGCTCACTCCTTTTTACATGGGGCTCTTAACATAAATAGTGAAAATTTGTACACGTGCCTTTAAAAGGCATGATGTTATGTCAAGTTTATGTATTTGTTTGTACGTATGCACGCAACGTAAGTTCATCACACAGCCACTAGGTACTAAAGTAACCAAGAGCTATTTTAAAACCCATCAATAACCGTTTATAGCTGTAACAAATACTGAAAACATCGGATTCAATAACCATTTGTTTTCGTTTTCTTTCTAGTAGGATGGCGCTCAGCTTAGTATGGGGGTAAATAAATGGGTATTGCAACGAGTGACAATAACAAATATGGTACCCAGTCACTAACAGGTGACATTTACAAAGAAATTTTATATCAGTTTGTGATAGATAATATTATCGGAAAACCGATTCAAAGCGATCATGTGTATAATGACCCGTTTACTCCTAAACATACATTCATTAATGCACCTCCAATAATAAAATAAATAATTCATAAGAATCCTTACATCCAAATGTACATAATATCACGCCTTTTATCCCTGAAGATAGGCTGGTAGGCAGAGGTGAACATTACGGCATTTAGTGCCACTGTACAATGTAACACCCAGTACAGTGTAATCAGTTTTTATATTATGAGTCCTATGTAAGGATGAGAGCATAGGCTCTCATCATATGGCAATAGTGCCATATACCGGGTACAATTCCAGACTCCGTGCTACTTCTGAGATTTTTTTTAAAACCTTTAGTACTTTGCCCAAGTCGGTAATCGAACGCAAGACCTTTTGCCCGGCAGTCGCACTTGCAACCACTCGGCCAACGACGCAGTCAAAGTACCTGTATTTATATCAACGGTATCGAGAACTAAAACATTATTTCTACTTTTTAAGCTTTTGTTCCAACTCATCTTTGATGGAAAATTTCCTATTAAATATTAAAAACTTCTTATGGTGTCTTCGTAATTACCTTGCGGAAGCCAAGAAAGCACAAAGCAAAAGAACTTTCTGAAAGGAAATTCGTAATGTATTTCAAATTTCTGTCACAAAAGGAATACTTAATATTTTCATATTACAAATAGTTCCTAAGTGAACTACAGTGACAGCATAATTTTAAACACCCATTAAATATTTTCCTTCAAGTACATTTTCTCAGAAGAATACTTTTATTAGTATACGAACCCCAGTATTTCTATTTATTTGATAACGAATGATTATTGAGTCTTATGATGTTAATATTCTTACTATATGCATTTAAAAATGTATATTTCTGTACGTTCCAGTTAAGTGAGTGATTTGTCCTCTGGTTGCTAGCGACCGTACTACACGAAGTCTTAGATATTGTAAACCCACGCATCTGGGGAAAATGGTCGGTTTTTGTAAATACTTACGTATAACTAAGTGTCTACATTTTTTAAAGGGGGGAAAATCATTAAATTACTGTTCCCGCCTGGGTGAGGCGGGAGGGAGTGTCAGACTCTTACTGACTAAAAACCACCCCGTTCCTTCTCCTGCACGTCGAGCCGGAGCCCCCGGTTACCCGTCAGGTTCTAAGTTTGTGTTAACGAAAAGCAGGTAAAAAGATTTCGTCCCGTCTCATCTTCCTAACATATGTAATATTAGTGACATTAAATTTTACGATAGCCATGTTTTTTTTACTTGCGTTCGCGCTCTCATGGCCATTTTAATTATGCTGGCTTTACGAAGAGATACTCACGCTGTACGCACTGTCTACAGGCCTCTCAGGTCACCTGTTCAAGTAGGTGCCTTAAAAATTAAAACTATATTTGTATTTTCCTACATAGCTCTGTAACATTGCTAAAATTTCCCTTTATCGTTGGTAATTAATCAAAAGAAGTAAATATAATCTGGACTGGAGGCAACCTTTAATATTTATGTTGCATGCAAGTTGTATATGATCGGTCCAATCCAAGAAGCTTTTATTATGATTTTGTATTATAAACACAGTTAGCCATGAATTATTCCATTGTAGGTTTTGTTTTGTAGCCTTTTTAATGCGGACTTAGTAAAAGCAATGTTTTGCTTACTATTTTTACAATAATTCATATTTCATATTTAAACTGACAATGTTTGTTGTGTATTGCCGTGTGCACTTTTAAATTGTTATTGATAGACAAGAAACACATTTGATTTTATGACCAAAATGAATAGTTTGTATCCAATATTATAAGTCCTAATTAAAATATTCATCAATCAAGTCTTAAGCCGTTTAAGAACCAATAGCTTAGGTAATGACCATCAGAACTTCATCAAGATTCGTAATAGTCTTCCGTATGTAAATTATTCTAACCCTAAGGTTTTCTAAAAATGGGTTTTGCAAAAGAAGCTCATGCTCCCGTTAGCACTATCTCTGTTACACAGATATCGTTTGCATGGTGTGAAACATTTGGATGGAATCCGGCCGCCATTTCAAAGACAGTACAGTAAAAACGAAGAAAAATATCTGCAAAAAGTAAATTAGATTTAGTATTAGACGGGGGACGAGTATCAGCTCTACGTACTCGCGAAAGGAGATATTGAGGATTATAAAGGAAATTGGAAAAGACATGTAAGAAGACCTTTTAGAAAATATGTAGAATATCAACCCTTCTGACTTTTTTAGTTTAGGTAGGTACAGTATTGTTTTATGATTCAGTTGTTATTACACCTTTACATAAATTAAGCAAAATTAACGTTATATATTATGTATTATTTGTATGTATGTTATGTATTATTTTCTAGTTTAGATGATACATAACTTTAATAGCCTTACAGAGGCCGTGTAAATACTGATAAAAGTTTCGTGATCATCAAAAACTAACAATGAGTTACTACCTTGTCCGACTTAAAATATTTTGAATCATATCATACCACTAAAGTCGCTAAATCTGGATTTGTAAAAATTGGGTCTCTGCTTAATAATTTAGCGACCTAACTTAGTAAAGGCATAACTTAATGATACTAAAAGTGGGTTTAAAATATTGTTTTATTCGAGGCAAGCGTAAGTGGATGGCAAATTTTTTTCGTATTGGTAAGAGTAATACGTGTATACCCCGAGCTGTGGTAAAAACATTAGTCGCGTTGGAGTCTAGAGGCGGCTAATTGATTTTGACTCGATGAACTGCAACACACCAATGCTTAAGTTATAACAGAACCATCGTTCACAGACGTCCTTTTTATTGCTTTTAATATTAAATTCTAAAGCTGTAAATAGCTCATCACGTTTATCGTTTGAATCTAGAACTTTCAATAAAGATTTTAGTTTTTATCGGCTTTCCGTGCTTCTGTCACGCCACACCGGGCAATTTGAGTAGAATGATTGGATCCTAATAATCAATACAAATGAATGATCAGATTTATTGCAAGTTTTATTAACAATTTTTATTTACATTTTTTTATTAGTACGTTCTACTGGTTATTCAAAAATAATTGTTTTTCTAACAGAAGATTATATGTGTTTCAAGTACCTCTAGTGTGCTAGTTTTTTCGTTATCTAGTTTATAGATTACAGCTAGTTACTTACTTTGGTTCTGTCTATTAAAATAATGAACAAAATATTTGGTAAGTATAATAATAGGGTATTTTCCTAAATTTTATCTTAATGTCCGTCTGGTACATTAATTTAAAACTTTAGACACGTATTTTTTCTTTTCTCACAAAACTAAATACTTTCGACGATATATTAATTTGAAATATCGTGTGACGTCACAGCGTGTCATATTTTGTAGCACGTTATGTCGTAACGACCTCCCACTCTTAAACTTAGCCCCATTTTATCTAAGTATTGCAACTTAATATGAGAAAATAAAAAATATACATGTCTAATATTTTTTCATTATCTAACTGACGGACTAATTAGATTTTTAATTTTGATACCTTGGAAACTACCCAATTATGCTGTTTTAAGTTAAGATGTTTTATTTTATCTCAACTCAGTTAAATATTTAACCGGTATACTTAAAATTCAAAACCAGAGAGGTCTAATCGACTTTGAATTTCAAGTGGAGTTTTCATTTCTACCTCGTTATGCAAGTCCGATTCGCATACGGCTGGTTTTTATTTCGATCTTCCGACTGAGATAAGACAGCCTTCGTACCTGTTTAGCCACCCTGCACACTCGAGGCCTCGTTCACTTCCATTAGCAATGTGTACACACCTCAAAGCTTTTACCTCAGAAATTAAATTTTGACGATAATAAAATTTACGTAGAAGTAGGTACCTCTATACTGCGTTATCGGGAACATGCTTAGTATTCTTGGTTGTTTTAGGAAACAACTTTAAGTTGCTTACCCGGATCAGATAAAGTATTGCTATTTAGGTTTCATGTTCTCAATATTCTAATGATAGGTTCAGCATTGTATGCCGTGATAGGATCATTTGTACTGTACGAATGAAAAGCGAGAAGTAGATTTTAATAACCCTCAACGCTGCTTGTTATATCGCGGGATTGGCAGAACAATAAAAAGGGGTGCGATACGTTATGAGGATGGACTCAAGCTACGGTTCGCTGCATGTTCGTGATTACTTACTATAAAATTGTAGAAGTTGGCCAAGTTACGGTCGTGTAGAACATCGTAAGCAAAGTTTGACGAATCATACTAAAATAGTTCATTCCAAATGTAGACCTTCATTTTCTTTCCTTATCGTAGAACAATCATGTTTTTTGTATGAGCACCGGCTCAAGGCTGCCTATCAAATATATGACATAACAACATCCCACCCTTGGACGTGCTATTTACTAATAAACGTACAAGAAAAAACATAGACCTGATTTTAAGATTGAAATTGAAGAGACAAATATCTATTTCTTAAAAGATTTAAGTAGTGAAAACAAGTAAACCTACGCTTTACCGCTGCAGAGTCAAGTGTTAGAAAATTATATTAATTCTATTAATGTTTGTTTGTGTTACACAAGTATCATTGTAATAATAAAAGTTTGTTAAGTATGGGAGAGCCATGCTTCGGCACGAAGGGAACCGGCTCGACCGGAGTGATACCACGGCCTCACAGAAAACCAAAGTAAAGCAACGCTTGCGTTGTGTTTCGTCGTGTGAGTGAAGTTACCGGAAGCCCAATTACCCCACCCCCCTTTCCCCATTCCCTGAATCCCCAACTATCCTCAAACTCCTGATACCCAAAAGGACAGTAACGCACTTGTAACGCTTCTGGTGTTCCGTCTGCTTGTTTACCGGCTTATCCCATAAAAACATATATAACATAAAACAAATTAATTAAACTAAAACATAATAAAGTGTGAAGAAATAAAAACCAACATATATGTATCGTAAAAGTTTAACTAACGGTTTGTCAAGTAAGTAAATAAAATATATAGTCCGGTATCGTTTTATGTAGAGGTATGTACCCAAACTACGGTACCCTAAAGCTAGGTTTATAGCAATCAATAAATATTATACTAATATAATCTTATCTAACTTGTTTACATGTTATAATTTTATCTAATCGCTCTTATTTCGCGAGTGCTTTTGAGCTGCTAGCGATACTCACAATGCCGTTAAGTAATATGTTAGTCCGATGGATTCCCAGCGATTTGTACTTGTAAAAACTTTTCGCCAATATGGCTGTCTCAAAGCTGCGAGATATTTCATTTCAAAGGCTTTTGACCATTTCTATTCATACAAGAACCGGTCGCAGTCGGATTTAGATGAAAGAATCGATATGGCACCAATGGGGCTGGTTGTAAAAATCACGCAAAAAGAGCCTATAGGATTTAAAACAAGCCTTTTACCACCTATTTGTATATGGAGCATTCCATGGCTGTGTGCTGCTTTCTATATGACAAAAAATATTCGATGACTTTTCAAAGATCAATCACTAAAGATTATATAAATATAAATACCTATCAAATATCATCAAACTAAAAAAGCAGCTGCGACAAAGAAGGAAAATAACAATAACGTTGACAACCACGTTAAGCTGTGCCTGAAGTATGACAAGAGAATAGGGAAATCTCATGTTTGGTTCTTGTCGTACAGATTATCTTTACCGGTTCTCTCATTTCTCGTCCGTCAAAAGGAGGCAGATATGTAAATACAGTTGACGCTGTCTTCCAACATTTATTCATACAAAGAAGCTTAAGTTTAGCCGAGAAAGAGGCGAAGACAAAGTTTTACCACTGTCATGGATAAAAAACTTCTCTCTGGATGCTTATATACAACTGCTTTTATTTTATCTCAGTTTTCTTGACAAAGTTGTTCGCACTGCTTGTAAAGTAGGCCATTGTCAGCACGACACGAGTCCAACAATTTATAAACAAACACCTCTTAAACAAAAGCCAGTTTCCAGAAAGTTAAGAAACGATACCTACCGTAATTTACTTTTCAATCAATTATAATTTTAATTGAAAAATACGTATAGGTACATGATTCTAAGTAACTTTTGTTTGCAAATCGGAAATGTGTTGTAAAAAACATGTTTCTGTAATTAACTGCGAAGGCAGATTTTTACACAACAATCAAATTAGAGGCGGGTAACACAAGCAAAACATTAAAGTTGGAACAGCGCTTTATACACGTAATGCCCTCTGGAAATTATTCTAAAGAGTATTATCACGAGCACGAAACGGCAGAAAATTAGCATTTAAAATAAAACATTTATCACAGCTACGTTTTAATTTCCGAATAAAATAAAATAAAAATCTTGTTTCATATATGAAAATGACAGACCCATGCCAGAAAATATTTGCTTTCATATTATTATTTATCAGTTATGGTTTATTGGCTAACGCTTTGACCTTGGTGTCATTGCAGAATTAGAGACAAGGGACCTTAACTAAATGAGAAGTAAAGTTATGATTTTCACAAAATTTGGGGCATATATTAGGTATCTAATCGAACGAATAAATAATTTAAAATACCTGTAATTTTCATTATAATACTTTGCAATGGACATTTCTAGATAGAGCATTCTAGATGCAGCTTTCATGTAAAGCAGAGTTTAATGTAACTTCTTGGACGAAAACTTTGTACTTTCTTTTAGGTCCAACCATTTACGAGCCAACTTCAATACAGGAAGGCAAATACTTTCTCCGGAGCATTTTTGAGTTGAATAATAAGAAGCCTACCTCTACTTTGTATTTAAATACATGTCGGTAGATACCTATATCTATTGCTAAAATTCAAACTGACTGCACGGTTGACGCGGTGGCTGGGCAACTACTCGTTTCGAATACTTTAAACGTAAATCAAAGGGTTTTTTTAAAGGGGGAAAATCATCGAATGGCTGCTCCCGCCTGGGTGAGGCGGGAGGGAGTGTCACTCTTACTGACTAAAAACCACCCCGTTCCTTCTCCTGCACGTCGAGCCGGAGCCCTGGTTACCCATTAGGTTCTCCGAGGGTAGGGCAACGTTTAAAAAATTACCATTTTCCATGGTAATTTTTTTAAACGTTGTCTATTATTGTTCTTGTGACGGGTTGGTATCTATCGATTTTGACTTTAGTAAATAATCTGTCTCTTTGTCTAACTATATTTGTTAATTAAACAAAATAAACTAGGTTCCATCTATAGACAACAACATTATACACTACTTATACTGTACAATATTATATTCTCGACGTAGTAGGTATCTGACTACATACCTACAGTTCCACTGAAGGGAAAAACTGACATAAAGTGCATTTATCGATAAAGTTTATTATTAGAAAGCTTATTTAAGTGTATTGTCTGGTCCAGGAATACGAAGAAAACCTAATTATTGCTAGTTTTTACGACTTTGCCTGAAGAAACAAATAAAATTGAACGTAAGCCGTTGTTATGGCGATATAGGGGTTGGGCTCCGAATAAAACCGTCTTTTAATTTACTTTCTTCGAAACGATTGACAATACTCTCATTTAATTTGTGATAGATATACATTAATTTCAGATGAGTTGAATACTTTAACTGCAAAAATTCTAGTTTTGTTATTAGTATCTAAAGTAACTAATTCTACATACTTGATTTATGGTATAATTCTTTATTTTGATTATAAAAAGATGCACCGTAAAATAGCTTTATTCGATATTTTTTTTAATGCTAAATTATTTCTGTCATATACTTATCTACGTAAAATTATAATCCTGATTTAACTTCTCAGATAAAAAAATAAAAGAGGCATAAAATTCATACTACTGAGGCTCTGAACGGTAATCCGAGATAAAACAAGTAAATTAATACCTATTTTATTATACGCTTTCAAAAGATTCTGTTTAGATACATATTTATGCCAGCTACAGCTTTAAAAGGTCTACTAAAGAGGTACCGTACGGTGTTATGTTTGTCTTAAATCCTTTGATGTTTTTTAGTAGCTGTTATGAATAAATTCTCCCACATTATTCCGTAATGATAAAGCTATGTGTGTATCTAATGTAATGTATACAGGAATTAACATTAACATGTTTCATTTTATTTTTTTTACATTCGATTAGTGACATATTTTATGTACGCTAAATAAATATGTTTCATACTAATACGTTTAAAATAATGATACTTACACGTTGTGTCTAAAACAATTATAGTCAGTAACATAGTTTATTTACAAATAGTTTTCATTAAATACATACACAAACTGTCACACAAAGTATTAGCCTGTTGGTTTATATATACTTTAATGTGTACCCAGTTCGATGAAAGAGTAATATCTCGATATTAGGAAGTCAGGACATGGTCGTTAAAGCCTTTAATCTAGGCGACCGTTACGCCTGGCGCCTGCGGGTGAATTCGCAACCTTTGCATTCAATATCGTTTTCAAAGGTCAATCTCTGACCAATCGTTGCCGGGAAATATCCCAGTAACATTTTTGTAGCCTTTTTTAGACTTTTAATGAGGTTCGCAGCGCCGTTTAGATAGAAACATGTAACATACAGGTGCATGATTGCACGATTTCAATGTTCGAACCGTTTGAAAAATATGTATATACTTAGTTGTTCATGACTTGAAGGAAGTAGTTGGAATTAGACTTTTGTTCAATGAATTCTTGACAATATAAGGAAACAACTTTTCAGATAGCTAGAAATAATAATTCTTATTTAATGTTCCTCGTAGGAACTCATAAAATTGTTTAGTCTATTCAACCAATCAATATCTACAGCACTCTATTTCTCTGTACGGAATATTCTGAATAGTACGCATTAAAATGCATAAAATAAAAGACAGGTGAGTAGGTACCCAAGAATCCAGATAAGTCAGTATTTGATATGTGAAAGAGTACGGTCACATTCAATAGTTTATCAATTGAATTGTTCTTTTTGAATGGACTACGCCAACTGTTGCACCGCTCGCGACAATATTGTTCATAACATTTGTTTCCTGTGCGGTTTATGCCTTTATGTTAAGTATTGGCGTTTGCGTTAAAGTTATTGGTACTATCTACATTTAAGTTTTCAATAAATCAGCAACTATCAAAATAAAATAATATATAAAAACGAAAACGTCTCGTTTACTATTTTCAAAACGAAGCCTTTCGAGAATAACAAAAATATCTGACTGAGATACTGGAATAATATTTTACTGACATTATACGGTCGCTGTAACTACATTATCTAACTTGAAAACGGGGTAGAATGGCGGAGCCCAATTTATTTGAATACCCAAATACATCTACAAAGATCCACTGGTATCTATACTTATAGCTATATGGGTACGTTCTTGCAGCTGACAAATGATATAATGTCTATTTGGATGAGTACGAATTTTGCCTTGGGCTAGACGTTCGCGCCCAATAAGACGAAACGAGAACATATCTCAAAGTCGTTAAGAATTTCTTAAATCTATATGTTGGATCAATCTACGTTTCCTAAAAGCTGTTTACTAAGGTGTTTAATTACACATGTAAGTTGCTACGGTGATTAAAGATCCCTGGGGGCACATAAAACCAAAAATGGCACGGTGGGTGTGCCCATTCAACAACTCGAATTAAAAACGGTGATCGATACGCTTTCGGTTGCGTATTCACATACGAAAGCGCGTAGTAAATGAAAATGTCGTATGTGACATGAAAGGCTCTTAATGGTTTAGAAATAAAAATACATTACACAATTTGTTTGCGAATAAATAATGGAGACAAAGAGATTTCGTTCCGTTTCGTTCCTAGACTGTGAATGATATTGTTCGAGTAGGTACGTGATACGACGTCGTCTGCTGAAGAGATTTTAATTGTTATCTTAGTATTTAGGCATTGCTCTACCAACTATTAATAATGTGTGTTAGTATGAGTCGATTTTGAACATCGACCATGGTTTGAATATCGAATAACTGTACTATTTCACTTGTACAAGAGAAATTAAGTAGTTTCCATATAAATGTTGTATAGAAAATTAGATGTCTGCTCATCGGCCCATATCAGAGTTGAAGTCAGTAAAATGCTTTTGCATGCCCGTTAGGGTTTCATTTTCACGTTCAGATGAACATTAATAAAAGCTTCTATGATGGATTAAAACAATGCAGAAAGCATCGCATTTACGCACTAGCTTAAATCATAATTCACAACTTTTATGCATGGTAAAATAATAATAATAATGCATAATAGTGCATAATGGCCGGTTTGTGTGTCCATTACATTTAGATTTAAGGGCCTCTGCGCTGTTGGCTTCGGGCCCTCGTACGCGTACCAAATGACCTGGACCCCGTGGTCCCGTGAATGGTAAAGACACATAATAAAATGCATTTTCTCCATAATTAATCACGTCGTCACCATACAAACAAAGCTTCAACAATTAAATGAATAAGTACTTACAGTTTGCAAGTAGAATAAGTAGATCAAATTGATGACTTCCACAACAGTCTCCAACCCCATAGCCACCACCCATGGAAGCAGCAAATATTTGATGTCCTAAAGAAAAAAAAAATAAACATTAAAATTATTATAATCTAATTATAGGTACTCCATCAAGTATTAATAAGCTCATAAGAATAACGGTCTCTTTAATTTCATATAGAATAGTGGTTCCAAATTTCTTTCAGAGTGTCTGGAATTGTCTGCCTCATTGGTCGAGTGGTCGCAAGTGCGACTGCCGGGCAAGGGGTCTCGGGTTCGATTCCCGGGTCAGGCAAAGTATTATTGGGTTTTTAAAAATTCTCAGTAGTAGCACGGAGTCTAGAATTGTGCCCGGTATATGGCAATAAGCTCACCCCCTATTACATGGGACTCATAACATAAATAGTGAAAAGTGGGTGTTACATTGTACAGTGGCATAATGTGCACCTCTGCCTACCCCTTCGGGGATAAAAGGCGTGATGTTATGTGTGTCTGGAATTGTCTTTATTTGAACGACCATTGCAATTATACCCATTGACCTTACAATTGAATAATGAATTAAGTGGTGAAAAATTCATGTAGAGTAAGGGTCCTAGAGTTATATTTTAATATCTTCTAAAACATTCATCAGGAGATCTGAGGCCTTAGTATAAGTTTGTTTTACATTTAAAGTAATCGTAACGAGTACGCGTTCAGCGCTGTGATTGGCCGGCTCTAATGAACCAACCAATCAGAGCACAGAACGCTGTCTCGTTTCGATTACTTTAAACGAAAAAAACACTCGTACTAAGGCCTCAGAGCGCCGAACGCGTACTCGTTACGATTACTTTAAACGAAAAAGAAACTCGTACTAAGGCCTCTGATTGGCCGGCACCAATGAACCAACCAATCAGAGCGCCGAACGCGTACTCGTTACGATTACTTTAAACGAAAAAGAAACTCGTACTAAGGCCTCTGATTGGCCGGCACCAATGAACCAACCAATCAGAGCACCGAAAGCGTACTCGTTACGATTACTTTAAACGAAAAAGAAACTCGTACTAAGGCCTCTGATTGGCCGGCACCAATGAACCAACTAATCAGAGCGCCGAACGCGTACTCGTTACGATTACTTTAAACGTAAATGAAACTCGTACTAAGACCTCTGCTATAACTAAACACTTTCAAATGTAGAATGTCAATGTCAAAACACAATTTAAATTGAAATTCTTTTCTTTTTATTTTCAAGTAACCTTTTCGACTTTGATTCTTTATTAAACATTTCGTATAAATCAAAATGAAGAATATTCAAACAACTTTTACATAAGCAATTAGTTTGGATTCCTGTCTTGACGTCGTAGTGAAAATATTTTACAACAACAAAGGTCGTAATTAGTAGAAAGACAGCGACATTTTCAGCTATACTATTCTAATTTAATTGTAGCATGAACTCAAACAGTAACAACTTGTAGATTTGTTTCTTTAGAAGAATATTTGCTCAATTTTCGTATACGTAGGTGTTTTTATTAAATTCTTTTGAATAACTTTAATTATTGGAATGAAAGTGTACCTAAATTAACTAAAAATCGCAGGTCGGCGATGTCGCGCAGCCTACTGACTGCGCGACTGCTCATGAGGAAGAACCCCTCTGTGGTTCGAAACTAGTAGAGCTTTTCTCAGTATATTCACATGAGTAACCCGCGATTTTTAGTTAATTTAGTATGTCTCACGATAGTTATTATAAAAAAGAAAGTGTACCTATACAATTTTATACAAATCCACGCGCACGCTTTAAATGCTGATTTATTTTATGATTTACACAATAGTATCTTTTTTTTTAAATAGTTCTTCTAGGTCCTTTCAGTCCCAAAAGAATAAGTTTCGTGCCTATTCTTGCTATTTTGCTGAAGTGAATTATTAATGAATTAATTACTATTGGTAGGTACTTCAGTTGTTAGCAATACTAAACTGAATAAGCCAAGCTAGACATTTACTTTCTAATTTACCGGTCGGACTTCGAAAGCTAACAAAAGCTGAATCAATAAATATTGTAGGATACTGGAACCAGTGCAGCCTCAGTTTTGGCTAAATTTCAAGTTAATATCTTGTATTTATTTAGGAACTCTTAGCTAAGTTAAGACCGCTAGGACTACCGCTGTAAAGGTCGAGTTGTGTTAGTCATTGATACACACATATATATATAATCTGTAGACGAGTAATTTAACATTTTAAGGTTCCGTCGATCTAACTTCACACGCAAAGGTTTCTGTTGTATTGTTATGGTAGACAGAAACTTAGAAGTAAAATAAATATATAGTTGAATAACATTCATTGTAGTACCTTACCTCTATAATGGAGGAGACGAAATAAACATTTCAAATAAAAGTATTGGCAAATGTTTGACAACCCCATATGAGTAGGTAAGATTGAAAGCTTTTGGTACCGATGTATATTCATGTACCTGTTTATTATCCTCTTAGACATTTAACAGACATGTTTCATCCATTTTATATGGTGTTCAGGTTACTTTACGTTGAGTAAAAACAAGTACGTATGACGTACGAAGACAAATTTCCCAAGTCATAAATCAAATGTTAACTTTTTGATGAATATTCCCCCCTCCTCCATATTTAGGTTAAGTCTATAAACGAAAAGTTTCAATGCTTTCAACCAATTTCGTCTTTGTCGTTCCAGTGAAATTTTTGAAAAACTCATACTTGTTTGTTTTTTTTTAATATTGATGATTTTAATGCGAAAAGTTTATGAGAGTTGGCTTATGAAGAACTAGTTTTTTTTTAATTTTGTACTCATACATACTTAACATCACGCCTTTTATCCCTGAAGGGGTAGGCAGAGGTGTACATTATGCCACTATGCAATATAACACCCACTTTTGACTATTTATGTTATGAGTTCCATGTAATACGGGTGAGCCTATTGCCATGTACCGGGCACAATTCCAGACTCCGTGCTACTACTGAGAATTTTTTTAAAACCCAGTAATACTTTGCCCGACCAATCGAACCCGAGACCCCTTGCCCAGCAGTCGCACTTGCGACCACTCGGTCAACGAGGCAGTCTTTTGTACTCATTAGGAAAGAATCGTACATCGCGTGATGACCAAGTCGCTGAAAGACATTTCTGTTTATTGAGAATTTTATAGATCGTCAACTAACCAGGACGTTACAAAAAGTCAGTCATTAACGGTGTAAGCATAATTACAGGTTAGTCAAACTCACGTTAGTGTGCAAGTGACGTCATGTTAACTTACTGCGACGCTTTCATTCATAATCGACCTCTTAGTTCATTGTAAAGGAAACAAGTTCGAAACATTAATCGAAATATTGTTTGGGGAACTCAATTTCTTTGATAAAATTTCTTAATGTATCATTTTAGAATTTTCGTAATGAAACAAAATTGCATACAATATATAGATTGTAATATAATATAATAATGGAATTCGCTGCCGCCTAACATACGCGACTCGAAGTCCATCTCCATTTTTAAACGACTTGTCAGGGATTATTATCTTTCGTCCTGAAGTGCAGCTTTATTTATATATATATTTATCTATACATACATACACATATATATTTATATGTAATCGTATTTATATTTTTCTAATTATTTTATTTATTATTTTTGTTATATTCCGGTCATTTTAGTTTTAAGTTCTTTCAGTTATTTTATATTGTTTTGTATCTGTTGCACATGCAACAGATAGACACAGTGTAAATGATACATATCATTTACACTGTGTCTTATATTTAATTTCCTTTACCTGTCGCAGGTCTGCAGGAAGAAATCCCTTAAGGGATATGTAGTACCTGTATCTGCTGCTATGTACCTCATACTTATAATGTGTCGTGTTTGTAATATTGTCTGTGTGGTGTAGGTATATGAAATTATAAATAAAATAAATAAAATAATTCGTATACGAGTCACATGTACGAATGTCAATTCAGGCTGGCGTTAATGAAATGTGTCTAAACTTGAAATCGAACCAAAAAACTGGCACTTGAAGTGCTGGCCCACACGTCAGTTACGTCATGTCATGCTACATTGACTGATCGGCGAGTTAACGTTGACGTGACTAGTTCATGTATGCATAAACCCCTTCACGTGTGTACAAAGTAATTTAAGTCTCAATACTAAGTTAGTCTAGCCTAGTTAGCTAACGATTTCCTTACAACAGAAATATCTTTAACTTTCGTACTAATTAGGAATGTACATAGAATTATAGTCGTACTTTTATCAAATACTAGGTTTTCACACGCGACTGCGACTGTCTATTATGGAATTTTAGGCATGATAATGTAGGAATATTGTGATAAACGATAGCGTATGCTCTCTGAAAGTCGCGGAGAACCTAACGGGTTACCGGGGCTCCAGCTCGACGTGCAGGAGAAGGAACGGGGTGGTTTTTTAGTAAGTAAGAGTCTGACACTCCCTCCCGCCTCACCCAGGCGGGAGCAGTAATTCGATGATTTCCCCGCTTAAAAAAAATGCTCTCTGAAAAATCCCGGAAATTATGTACTGTATTTCAAAATCTTCTTGACGCAAACAGAAAACCAAATCTTATATATTTATTATATTAGTATAAAAATGGGCATAACGACGTTACGTTGATATATAAAAGTTAGTAGAAGCGTAAACTTATTAGCTTTTACATATAATTTAAACTTGAAGAAACAAGGTAGGGAGGTATTTTGTCCTATTATAATTTTGTAATTAGATTCAGTCAATCAAAATGTATGCTTAAGATTGTATAATTAGGTACGTAGAAGTCTAGGCAAGTAAGATTCATCAGTAATACTAATAGGTTTCTTTTTCTTATATACCTCTAGAAACTTATTATTTACGTACGGAACACCAAGTCAAGTGAGAACGTATAATAAGAGCTTTATCTTGATATTTCAAGCAGACATTTCAATCTTATTAAAATAAATAAATAAATGTTGAGGTTTTCCTAAGACCAACCTATGCTTCCATCTTTGCTCGAAGAACCGTATTTATTTTTAATTATTTCATACGCAATGCTTCGAAGGAAATATCGTCTGTCATCAGATTTGTATTCATTTCATTCTGTTCCATTA